TTTTAGATTAAGAGAATTATTAAAAGTAATAAAGGGTAATATTTTAAAATAATAAAAATAAGTCATTTCTAGCAAAACAGTCCCAATAATTTGAAGTGGATGAGATAAGATTATCTTGAAATTCAAAAAGCTCAACTCTAGTTTATATTCTATCAGCTAATCTGCAAATCTGGGATTCAAGCTGAATTGACTGTCAAAATTTTAAGCTGTAGTTCAACTCAGTTCATTTAATAGAACTATAGTGGAAACTTTTTGATAAGTGCAGTTTCATGCTTCATTTTAATATACAAAAGTAGATTGTCAATATTTTGCACTCTTCTTATTTGAAGATCAATGATTTGTTCTTCTAGATCCGTGGTCCTTAACCTATGGTCCCTGAAAGCACCCGAAGTGGTCCGCAAAGTTATCCCAAAATTATTAAATAAATGACGACGAGTTGATGACAATGCGCAGTACGTCAAGGTTAGAGCTGATAGCAGGCTGGGGTATGGTGCGTGGTCAGAAAATATGAAATTGGAAGGCACTAGCAATAAATTTGCATTTGAATATAAAATCAATCAGTATGTTTATCGCTAAAATTGATCTATGGATCAGCAAAGTCGAAAGAGAGAATTTGTCTGTGTTTGATACATTAAACCCAATTATTGATTGATAGTGTGCTGAGATTAAAAGACAAATACAAAAGAACATTACATTCCATTTGCAAAGTTTGAAAAATGAATTCAATCGCTATTTTCCTGACTGCAAGGACAAAGGTATTCAGAAACTGATTTGCAATCCTTTCATAGTCAACATTTCTGAGGTGCCGGATGAAATACAAGAAGAGTTAATTGAAATGCAACATGATAGTAACTGCAAGGATACATTCGAGACAGAAATTAATCTTAAAGATTTTTAGAGCCAAAAAGCTATTGCTTTCCCTAAAATTCAAGAAATTGCTTTACAGTACCTAACTTTATTTTCAACCACATATTTATGCGAGCAAGGATTCCTAGTGCTTTTGATAATTAAAAATAAACATTGAAACCAGTTGGATGCCAGTGCCGACATGCATTTGCTTTGAGTATCACAGAACCAAGAATTCAGCAGTTGGTAAACAGTATGCAGTCACAAAAATCACACTAAAATAATATAATTAATGTTAACACTTTCACAAATAATATAATACTCTTGGTTCCGAATAATTTTCTACGTGTTTAATTTATAAAACAACCTTATAAGAACCTATATCACTGCCAAACAGCTCATGGTCCATGGCAAGACAAAAATTTTGATAAATGGTCCCTCATCACTAAAAGGTTAAGAACTGCTATTCTAGACTCTTGACTTTTCATAATTAAAATTAATCAGCCACTTTAAGTAGTTTGTCATTCCAACCTTGAAATTAGAGTATTAATTAATAAGAATACTTACAATTGTGGAAAATAAATGCAGGCAATTTCTTAACACATCAGTTGATTACAGAAAAGAAATCTGAGCCTTGGTCATGACTTAAATCCAAATTTCTTAAAATCCTATTTCAGAAGAAATTTTTGATTTGATGTAGTTATATATATTAAAGACAAACAATTGCCAATTATATCTGGCTATATTATTACTACTACTATTATTATTAATTAAATACTAAGGAATTTGACACTAGAAGCAGGTGTTAGTTGTCATCTCTTATCAAATTTAATAATTAAACTTGTTAATTCTAAAGCTGGAACTATCTTCTAAATACTAAAATTAACACCACCTCAATTTCCAGCATTCAGTGATTAAAAACAAATGTGTTTGGCTATATTCTGTGTCAGGCCATTGAGTGTAGCCAAAAGCCAAAACTTTGAATGACAACAGTTTTGTCATTTCAAATTATAATAAATAACTTTTACACTTGAATTAATTTACAAATAGGCTATCAGATTTCCTGATTCCATTTTCTGTATGAAGTAATCTTTTCTTTGTGATTTCATTACTTTTGTTTGACTCATCATTTTAGAGCATGTACTGTACTTTCAACTAAACTTAAGGTACATTCATTATTTTATTATCTTCAGATAAACATAGTTATTATACCAGAAGAATGTTAAATTCATAACCTCTCTTCAGAAATTTTTTTCAAAGTTTGCTCTTGAAGGGTGTCTCTACTGACATGACACCAGTTTTCTGCCTTCAAATAACTCCCCTGAGTTATTTCTGTTAATGTCTCAGACATTGTTGCTATCAAATTCAGTTTCAAAAATAACAATCAGCTGAACTTATCAGGATTCAGCTGTATCTACTTCATTTTTCCTGGTTGCTGGCTGACTCCTCTAGATGTTGAATGTATGAAGTAGT